GCGCGCGCGCGTGCGTGCATGCGCGCGCGCGTGTGATATTGCGGAGGGGGGATGGGGGAATATCTTCGACAGATACTGCGGTGCGCATTCACAAGTGATTTTGATGTGTGCGAAACCGTTCCAGAGTGATAGGAGTGCTTGATATCTTTTTACTAGTTGAGACTTGGCGGAAGCGCTGAAAGGTTGCTGGTTAACCTCACAACCGCTATTCTTTGCTGCTGTCGCTGCTTTTGTCGTCACCGCAGTTCCGTGCTGCCCCTCCCGTTTGCCCTTTCCAAGACCGGCGTCCTGCTGGGTGTAGCTACCATGGCAGTAGTGGCCTGGACCAACGTCGCCACCAGCTGTATGCTGATACGCGCATCGGCGCGCACGGGCAGGTGCGGTGTGCCTGTGTGGTTGCGTCCCCCTCATCACAGCCTGTGCGCGGCCCGCGAGGCCAAGTGCGGAACCCCCACCCCCCGACAGGCACACCTATGAGGGCCTGGCTGAGTGGGCGGGCGGCCCAGCGTGGCGGGCAGTGACACAGGTGTCCCTGCTGCTACTGCTGTGGGGCACGCTTTGTGGCGGCCTGGCGCTGCTGTCAGATGTGGCTGTGGTGATGGCGCAACAAGCATTTCCAGAGGGCGAGGCACCTGCGTGGCTAAGCGGCCGGGTGCTGATGAGCGTACTTGCGCTTCTGGTGCTCTTCCCACTCTGCCTGCAGCGCCATATGCGCCAGGTGTGCAGGGCAGGGAGCAGGCAAAGGGTCGGGCACATCTGCAGAAACCAGGCCCTCAGCTTCTGCTGTCCAGCCTGCTTATGCCGCGCGCTTCCAAGCCATGCAGAAACGGCCTTCTTGGTTCAGCACCTGCCATACTCACCGCGCCTGCTCTGTGCAGCTGGAGACCGCAGCCACCGCTGGCGTAGCATTGGTGCTGGGCCTGGTGGCGCTGCTGGGCGTGCGCGTGGTTGCAGCGGGGTTCCCAGGCATCGCCGACGGCGAGGTGCCGCTGTGGAACGTCAAGCTGGACGGACACCTGCCGGAAGCATTCTCTGTTCTGGGTGAGCTTGCCCCGTGGCAGTGATCGCCAGGGGGGGACTGCACCTGCGCGGCGCGCAGTGCGCTGGCCTTGGCGGCTCACGCAGGTGGCAGAGCAGCGCCTCTCTTCAGGGGTGCAGCCCTGGTTCATGATGACATTGCGGGCCCTCCAATGCACTAGGACTGCTCTCTGGCATGCAGCCTCCACCTGACACATGCCTCCCTTCCTATGCGCCATGTTCTGTTGCAGCTTACGCATTCTACATGCAGCCAATGATGATGACGCTGCTGCCAGAGATGCCCGCTGGCCCTGTGGGGGTGGCAGCCATGAATCGCGCCGTGCTGGTCACCCTGTACGGCGTCGCATTTGGTATCTACGCATCCATGGGGCTGTTTGGTGCTGCGCTCTTCGGCCAGGGCACCGAGGGCAACATCATGGTCAACAAGCTGGTGGACGGGCGCGTGGCAACACTCGCGCTCTATGGTGCGCGGGCTGCTGTGGCGTCAGACATGTTGAGGGTGTGCCCCAACTGACGGCACAAGCAACCCCATGCCCCGACTGACGGCATAAGCAACTCGCCGTTCAGCAGGTACCACTCTCTTCAATGGACGTGTCCCCCTTGCCTCCCTTATCTCACGCCCTGCAGGTGGCATGCTCCTCTACCTCGCGCTGGGCATGACCACAACACAGTACGCCCTCAGGTGCTCGTGAGCCATGATGCGGCTGCGGAGAGGGTTGGGGGGGACCTCCGCTGTGATTCTTTAATGCTGTGTGTGGGTGCTGTATTTAATGGGGCTCAGGGCTTGAGCAACGGGTCACACCCCACAGGTTCACATTTGTGCTGTCCCTCGCCCACCCTGAACATCTCCTCCCTGCAGGCAGTCACTGGACCTACTGCTGCTGGGCGAAGAGGCACCCTTCACACGGCGACGGCAGGTGTGTGTTGGCTGCAACATCCCATGATCAATGCCGTTAGTGCAGCGCCACCAGGGCGTAGGGGCACATGGGTTGAAACGTCTCACTTCATGCTTACGGGACGGCATATGATGTTGGACCTCCACCCATTCCAACCATACCCTCCTCTCTGGGTCCCTGCAATTGCCCTCCCTTTCCAGGTGGCTCTAACAGCACTGAGCATCGGCAGCGCGCTGGCGGTTGCGCTCATTGCCCCCACCGCAGCTGAAAAGATTATTAGCGTTGTGGGAGCCACGGGAGTGTGCATGGTCTCGTACATTATTCCCGTTGCGATACACGTCACAGGACACAGGCGGGGATGGCGGCACCCAGACGACGCCGCATCACGGGCCGCCACAGCGCGATACCTGGCATGGCACCGCCGAGGCGGATGTGGTGCCACGTGTACAACCGGGGCCGGTGCCGCAGGAGGCGCTAGTGACTCGGCAGTGGCGATGATGGCGCCGCTGCTTGGTGCACCTTTTGCAGCTGTGACGGGTGTCGCGTCGTCGGGGCTAGGAGACTGCCTGTTGGACGAGCATGATGCTGATGGAACTGCTGGAACCCTGGTCATGCCCGCCAAGCGCGACGAGGAGGGCAAGGATGGCGGGCTCAGCTGCTTAGGCCGCCTGCATGCTACGTGGGAGGGTTTGGTGGAGCCACTGGTTGTGCTGGTGATTGGGGTTGGGTTCTCAGTGGCTGCGCTTTGGGTGGCGATCACTGCTTTTCTTGTGGATGTGAGCCACGTGTGAAAGGGAGGGGACCCAGCTAGCAGGTGTGCGTTTGTCGGCATAAATTCGTGCATATTCTGGACGCACAAGCTTGGTCAGGTGGCCACAAGCCCAGCAGATGACGCACACCTTCCTGTACCCAAATTTACATGGATCCTCTACACAATGGCCTGCAGTGGTTGTGCTGCGTGTGGAGTTGCAGTCGCAGGCATTGGCTGTGCGCCCACGCCTGTTGTGGGTGGGACATCCAATTTTTCAGGCGTTTCGTGGCAACAGGCACAGCAGGACTATGTGAACATCCAAGCACACGGGTTGTTTTGGTGGTGGTTTGAACGGTCAACACAAACTTTCTGATTGTGTGGGGCAGCGATGTCCCGTCTGTGTATGACCATATGACCACTGGCCTCTTGTAAACATGTCTTTTGTTCATGTGATGCATTGCAGCATAAGGCAAAACTTTGTGCAGCCTCATCGAAGTGCGGGCCTTGGAGGAAAGATTCAATCCTCAGCAAATGCGCTGACAGTTAGTCAGGGGTATGGGTATGCCCCCCAACACAAAAATAGTGCAGCAGCAGGCTCGGGCTGACGCTGAGCCCAACACAACAGCCAGCCCAGGTCGCCTCCTACATACACCGCGTCCCCAGGGGACAAGACACACGTGTATAAAAGCAAAAACGTAGAGGCGCTTCCCAGATCACGCTAAACCTTTGCGTGTATGCAGCCACGTCGAGCATAGCAGAGTAAGAAAATCAAGGATCAACATCAAGAAGTATGGGCGACCGTGGGAGGTGCGGACCATGTGGGAGATGTGGCAGGGTGACGGTCAGCAAGGCTATCGACGCTGCAGCTGCACTGGGCGGCGCACGCGGCGCCCGCCACTGCGATGGGCTCACAAGCAGCAACTTTCAATCGTCAGGTCAAGGAGTTGCAGCCCAAGAGCTGGTGACAAGAAGAAGCGGTGAGGTGCTGGTGCTGGGCGGTGTGCTTTGAACGGCGCGCGTGGACTGCAGGGCGCCCTGCTGCGCATCCGCGACTACAACCTCGCCCACCCCACGCTGTCCCTTCCCTCGCCAGTCACCGCCACTACCGACGCAAGGACGAAGACGGCGGCACTAGCGGCGCAGCGGCCCCCAAGAGTGCGCTGCAGCTTGAGGCGGAGGCGCTCGCGCGCATCGGCGAGGCTGTGGCGTCGCGCCTCGAGGCAGCGCTGGTGTCCGAGGCGTTCAAGGAGCGCGTGGCTGGGCGGCTCAAGGAGGAGCGCGCACGGCTAGAGGCGGCAATGCTTGAGCAGCTGGAGGTGGAGCGTGCCGTGCTGCTGGAGCGCAAGCGCGCGGCCCGCGAGGCGGCGCTGAAGGCACAGGAGGACCTGGACCGCTTGCTGGAGGAAAACAGGCGCGCCCTGGGAGGGGGAAAGGCTGCTCCGCTAGGCGCATGGGATGGGGCCGCCAGGCAGAGACAGATGACACATAAAATGCCCATGCAGCTCGCTACCGTTTAGGCAGCGGCCGTGATGTTACTTTGCGCCCCCTCGGGTTGTGCTGTTAGCTTGAGGGCCCATCCGGGTAGCGGATGCAGTCCCAGCAGCGCCATGTGAGAGGCAATCGAACGATGACCCGGTCACATCCTTGCAGGCGCAAAGTGGAGGAGGCGCAGCTTGCGGCAGCGCGCGCTGCAGAGGCCGCGCGCGGCTTCGATAGACACAGTGGTGGAAGCGGTGGCGGCTGTGCAGCGACTGCTGCAGCTGCAACCAACCACACAGCGGATGACCTGCAGCCGGCTGCGCAGCTTCAGTCGCAGCAGCACCAGCAGCAGCAGCAGCAGCAGCAACAGCAGCAGCAGCAGCGGCAGCAGCCACCACCACTATATCCACCCCGTCGGCGGGCATCTGGGCTCACAGTTGTGGAGGACGGGGCTCTGGGGTGACGGCCGCAGGCATTGCTGTATGCTATGTGCTGCCACTGGCTAATTTTCCGCGCCTTGTGTGTTCGCAAGCGGACGAGGCGTATGACCAGCTTCTTACGCGTGATTGTAGAGCGTGGCCACACTCAAGTGCATGCGACCTGGCGGCGCTGCAAGCAATTCCCTGCTAGCCTGAAGGGATCTGCTTTACAGCACTGCACGCGGGCTGGTGTGCTGGTCCATGCTTTGTGTACGTCAGGATATGGGCTGAGCGCGGCCTCTGGGAGAGGTACTACAACTGCTGAGGAATGTGGGGTGCAAGTTATACGCTGGCCATGGCAACCCCGTGCAGAGTTCTGCTGTCAAGCAAGGCCAACGCGCGTCCCACCATCGAGCTTCACCAAGTGCAATATCCTATGATACCGTATGATTGTGGGCCCTGCCACCCATGATCAGTTGCCGTCCACATGCAACAGATGAGCAAATGCCATGTTTATCATGCCTGTTGCAAAGTACGGTAGGCAAGTTTCAGCGGCCGCCGGCAGCAGCGTACGGTACGGTATGAATGGGAGAAGCAGCTGCAGCGCTGCTGCCGCATGTCAGCACATGCGACAGTCTGCATGCTGGCAGGCTGCCGCGGCGGCAAGGATATACCGTATGTAAAATTGCGTAGTTTGACAGCACAACGTACTCTTTATGTACGAGATCGCAAGGCCCGTCGCAGTCAAACAACTGCGCGTGGATCCCCTGCGTGGACACCGCTTTCACCATCATACAAGTTACTCAAGCGAGATGATAAGGCTCAGCCGAAATCAGCCGAACGTGGACTGCAGCTGAGCGTCAGGGATTGTGCGGCGCAGCGCTCGGCGTCGCTGCACATGCACATCATCCAGAACCTCTCAGACCACCCAGGCATCAGCAGAGTTAAAAGCCGTCCACATTGCAACTAGGGAGTGTGCAAGACAATGTCGTCCACAGCGGTGATTGGATTCATCAAAGGTGCGCTACCTGACAGACGGAATTCACCTGCGATTGCAGTGTGCTCCGGCTGCCATCGCACCGTCAGCAGCTCACCATCACACGCTGCTGTACAGACATCAAGGCGCGCAACTTGCGGGCGGTGCGCGAACGGCTGGCCAAAGGCAAAGAGAACCCTAACTTGCGCTTCACGGATCCAGCGGCAGCCGGTTGGGAGTATACCTTGCTGCACAAGGTACCTGAACGCGGGCGTTTGGACGGGGCGGTAGCTTGTTGATTGGTGCAATCCCGCACATGAGGCGTGAATGGGTGGGCGGTGTTTGTCAGGCAACCACCCACCACTCACCTCCCCACCTCACAAACTCGACCCGCACTTCCAACAGGCTGTTCAGGTGGGATGCCAGCCCATAGTGGAGGAGCTCCTGCGAGCTGGGGCAGGCGTTGACAGCCGCGATAACAACGGCGCCACGCCGCTCCACTGGGTGTGCGAGGCTGCGCTGGGCGAGGAAGCCTACCTCGGCATTGCAGGTGGGTCGCTTTGGCTGTTTGCACGGCACAAGTGTCGAGAGTACATATGCTTTTGCATCAAGATGATGTGGGCACACCTTCCTAATCACAAACAAGGTGTGCTCTTGATATGTGTGGCTGGGTTAGATGAACATCAAAATTGTGTTTTGCGGCGTGACAGCACCCCTGGCCCACTCCTCCTCTATGTGCACGATGGGGACCCTCATTGCCTCTTGGGCTCCTGCAGCGGCCCTCGTTGCTGCCAAGGCTGATGTGAGGGCCAGGGACAAGTACAGCGCGACTCCCCTACATGTGGCCGCTGCCAAGTGCCCCGCCTTGATCAAGATGCTAATCATGTCTGGCGCATGCCTACGGGATCTCGACGTACGAGGCCGCAGTGCTGTGCATGTCGCAGCGGCTGAAGGGCGCCTGGACACGCTGTGGCTGCTGGTTGCCGAGGGCGCGTGCATGGCTGAGCAGGTGCGGCGCAGTTGTGGCGGACGGTGCGCACGGGATACATACAAGAATGTTGATTCCTTGGTTTGCAAGCGCACATGGCCCCTATTCGTCATTTGCTGACCTGCCTCTGCTGCAACGCAGGATTCATCGGGCTACACTGCGCTCATGCTCCTTTTGCAGCACGGCCACACCCAGCAGGCCCTGCAGCTACTGGGGAAGTTGGAGGGAGAGCTCTGCGCCATCAACGCGCAGGAGGCAGTGGGTGGTCGCACTGCCCTGCAGCTAGCGTGTGAGGGGGGGACTGGACAGCTCTCCCCAAAGTACAGTGACAAAGGGGAGGTAGTTGACGCCCTGTTGGCAGCGGGAGCGTCGCCTGACGTGCGGCTGACGAGCGGTGACACGCTGCTGTTGGACGCGGTGCGCAGCGGTAGGCTGGAGCTGGCCAGAAAGCTGCTGCCTGCCTGCAGCAACGTGGATGTGGAGGGTGAACGGGTAGACAGTGCTGTGTCCCTGGTGCTGCAGCTTCATTGGTCCCCGCACCAGCCACAGCTGGCGGCAGACACATTGAGCCCGATCGCGCTGGTTGATCAAACTCCTGCAGCGGAGGTTGTCTCCCTTTGCACGGCAACCGCCGACGGCAACCCTGCAAGCGCGGTGAGAAGCTTAGGCAGTGGCGGCGTGGCCATTCAAGGCCCCTGTGGAAGCGGGGCCGTCACAACTACTGCTGCTAGGGCTGTTGGCCCTGCTGGCAAGGAGGCCAACAGGCCGGAACAATCTGGTGCTCACATCAGCAGACCCAGCAACAAGGTGCCTGCCACACGACACAGTCCGGCTAGGAGCACAGATGTCATTCGAGCCAAGAGCACCCACAGCACCAATGGTGTGTTGAAGCAGGCAAGGCGGCTGCCGCCGCCACCACCGGCGCCCCAGCAGCAGCAGCAGCAGCAGCAGCAGCAGCAGCAGCAGCAGCAGCAGCAGCAGCAGCAGCAGCAGCAGCAGCAGCAGCAGCAGCGACAGCGACTGCCTCTACCGCCGCTGCAACAGCAACACAACCTGCAAGAAGCCACCAAGGGGGCTGCTGGGCATTTGAGCAGGGGCAGCAGCTTTCAAAAGGCTCCTCTGGCAGCGCAATCGTCCCTGCCTGCAGCGCCGGATGTTGACACCGCTTTGTCTTCGCACAGAGATGCGGAGCTGGCAAGCAGCAGCCGGCAGAGTGCTGAAGGACTGCTGGTGGCGCTGCTGCAGCGGGGTGCAAAGCTGGGGCTGGTAGATGGCCAGGAGCTGTTCCTTGAGGCGCGCTCTGCAGGGCAAGATGAGCTGTGCGCCCTGGTGAGCTTTGTGGCCCACGGCGACATATGCGCCACCAGTATTTACACAAGTTTGCGACGGGAAAACACGGTGTTGATCGCCAACACAATTGTACTCTGTTGCTTGTTCCAGCAATTTGATTACACCTCCCAACCACTCCAAAACAATCCCGCAGGTCGTGCCAGCATTGCCAGTCCCCGCAATGACCGGGCTTGGCCTGCGGTACCAAGACCTTGCGGCCACCATGCCGTGCACAGCTGTGGCGGTGCTGGTGCGTTCCGCTATCATTGCGCAGCTGGATTGGCTGGGGCCCCAGGTGAGCCTTCATGCTATGCGTGTCAAAGTTGCTACAATGTGTAAGCATGTCATTGAAAGCCTGCCCGTGTTGCACAAGCTGTACAGGCTGCCATTACCACCCAAATCACCAACGAAGCCGTGGCAATTGCCACCACCACAGGATGAGCACGGCAACACACATCTCCACCTGGCTGCGGCCAGGCCTGGCGACAACGGCGCCCTTTGCAGCGCCCTGGTGGCAGCGGGCGTCCCTGTGGATGCAGTCAACAAGGAAGGCGACACTGCGCTCTTCATCGCGGCGCGTGGCGCGGCTCCATGCGCCTGCCGGGCGCTGATCGCTGCGGGCACCGATGTGCTGGTGCGGAACACTCGCAACCGGACAGCGGGGACCCAGATCAAGCTGGACCCGGCAGTCAGGGAGTACCTGTTTGAAGAGGAGGAGGCAGCGCGCGCCGCACGGGCGGGGCGCAACAAGCAGCTGTGGGATGGGAAGCTCGCCGCAACGCAGACCGCGAGCGCATGCGCGCTGCGGTCTGTCTGATTGCAGGAACGCTTCAGCGCTGCCCTGATATCAAGCAATAATTTTGGTGCTGTAAAATTAACTTCTATCAGCACTGCATCGAGGCGTGAAACTACATTCAACTCGTCCAACAGCGACGACGACGACGCCTGTGGCACTTCGGCAGGGCACTGGGTGATGTCAGCTTGGTGGGGCGCACGCTGGTACTTACCCCTATGCCTGGATTGCATGGTCGCGGCTGTGCAAGTGTTTGCTTGGCATAATTGCACGAAATCGGCGGCTGCTTTTGCTGGCGATCTTCACAGCTTTGCCCTAAGGGTGCCTGGCGGCTCACCCTGGATTCCTGCCGCTTCCTTAACATAATTTCTTCTGGTCCAAGTGTTAGTTCAGGGTGCTGTGGCGGCGCACACGGTTCTTTGGTCGTGTGAAGCAGCGGGAGGGAGCGTCAGAGAGCATGGCGCGATCCAGGATGCTGCTTTTGGAACACTATGAGGTCGACGCCAGCTCTCTGGGCGCAGTGGCCCCCATGGCCGGCCTGTTGCAGTGCGCGGCAAAGGAGCCGGCGGGCGTCGCGTTCCACACTACTGTCCTGCGCCAGCAGGGCCTGCTAGGTGCGAGGGGCCAGCTGCGCTTTCCCTGAAGAGCGGGCGCAGTCGCAATCATCGCCTGCCTGTCTGCTCTGCATGGCACCACGGTTTTTTTGCCTGCTGGCTGGCCACAAACCCGCAGCTTCTGCCCAACACCCTGGCTCAAGCTGTGGAGCAAGGTTGTGCCTTGTTCGCCCGAACCCCTTCCTATGCGCGCTGCCCTGCTGCGGCTGTCGCTGCGAACGTCACACCCCTGTACCAGTGGACAAGGAGGAGGACAGCACCTTGAACGCCGGCGCGGGCGAGGCAGCCGAGTCATCGCGGCCGTTGTCAGCCGGCGGCGCCGACGCTGATCTGCAGCCGCCGCCGGGCGTCAGCTGGAAGCGCTCCAAGGCGAAGCAGAAGGGGGACAAGAAGAAGAAGGACTCAGACTACTACGCGCTGCTGGGGCTGCAGAACGAGCGGTGGACCGCCACGGACCAGCAAATTAAGCTCGGTGGGGTCCGCACCGTGCTGGGGTGTGGCGGGTGGGGAGGGGGTGGGGGGGCGCCGCATGTTGCGCCAGGTGGTTGAGTTGTTGCGTCTGTGGCTGTCGTCGTCTAATATGAGACCGAATGCATCGGTTTTCAGAGCGGGGTTGCTCTGTGGCGTCCTTGAGAACGCAGTACACTCCCCTAGTCATTGACGGTGTCTACCGCCTTGCCCGCGTGCCGTGCCCGTGCCTGTGCCCGTGCTGTCCTGTTCGTGCAGCCTACCGTCGCACGTGCCTAGAGGCGCACCCTGACAAGGCTCTGGCCGGAATAGACGACGCGGCGGAGAAGATACGCATTGAGGAGCGCTTCAAGACCATACAGGCGCGCACGAGGGGCGCATAGTTGATACACATGAGACCCCTTTCCTGGGAGGCTGGCACAACAGGCTGACATCATGGCATGGCACGGTGCTGCTGCATGAGGGATACAGGCACAGGGTGATGGGATTGCGGTGAAGCGACACAGCTCTGTGGCCTCTCGTATGTGCGGCGCCCACTTTCGGGCTGGGCCGCATCACGGCTGCGGCAGGTGTTCTGCGCTGTTTGGACGGATGAAATCCCCCGTGTGTGCGTGTGGAGTGCACAATCATCACCTCTCAAGCCGCTCCTTGTCCCCGCTCCTGCCGTCTGCCCCCCTCCCCCCCCCACACACAGGAGGCGTATGAGGTGCTGTCTGACCCGGCCAAGAGGCGCGAATATGACTCAACCGACGAGTTTGACGACACGCTGCCGACTAGCTGCGCAGCGGCTGACTTTTTCAAGGTGAGTGTGGGGTGGGGCTGGCTGGGTGGGGTGTGCATGGCTTCTGGGCCTGAACGCAAGGGGGTCCCCGACGATGGCGGGCAGGACGGGTGCAATGCAGCTGTGCTCTTGCGAACTCGTGCCTGCACAAATGTGCTGGGCTTCTGCCCACGCGCCTGCCAACGCCCCGCTGCCAGGTGTTTGGCCCGGCTTTCCGCCGCAACTCGCGCTGGAGTGTGGACCGCGCAGTGCCAGACGTGGGCAGCCTAGACACCCCATGGTCCGAGGTGTCAGCGTTCTATGACTTTTGGTACAGCTTCAAGTCGTGGCGCGAGTTCCCTCACCCAGACGAGGAAGACGTGGAGTCGGCAGAGAGCAGGGAGCACCGCCGCTGGATTGAGCGGTGCGGGGACCTTCGGGGGAAGGGACTCAGACAAGCTGGGAGAGCGCGTATCAAAGGCACTCTGCTGCCGCTCAGTGCCCTGATGGCAGAGCCACAGCCAACTGTCAGCTTGGTGTTGGTTGTGACACCAGCCACCATATACGTGCCGGTGGTTGGAACAGCAGCTACCTACTAGACAACCAGCTCAAAGCCCTCTTTGTCCAACAGCGTCTTGTGAGACCTTCTGCTGTATCCTCCTTCCCTCGATTCAACCCCCCTCAAAACTCAGGATCAATTCCAAGCTGCGTGAGAAGGGGAAGAAGGAGGAGGCCAAGAGGCTGCGGGAGTTTGTGGACGCCGCCTACCGCATCGACCCCCGCATTGCAGCGCGGAAGGATCTGGAGCGGCTCGAGAGGTGTGGGCGCGGCAAGGAGGGACCTCGTTGCATGGTCCCTCGTAGCCATGATTGAGCGGCCTGTGGAGCGCCAGGTTGGCGGGTGGCTGCTCTTGTCCTCTCAACATCATTCTTGATGGAGACCACGTGCCGGGTGTCCCTGTTGCGACGAGTGCTGATCCATTCTCAGGCTGACATTCCCTGCGCCCGCTGCTGCCCCAAAGGGAGCGGAAAAAGGCCGAGAAGGAAGATGCAAAGCGGCTGCAGCGTGAAGAGGAGGAGAGGAAGAAGGCCGAGGAGGACGCAAGGAGGTGAGGCCCGGCGCTGTTGCTCGTAGGTGCTGTAAGCCTGCCCATTTGCCCCAGTGCGGCTCGCTGCTTCAGTTCGTTGTGCGACGTCTCCACTGCTGCATGCCATGAACAGCCTGCGAGCACACTCCACCCTGCTCCACCCCTCTCGCCGCCTCCCTCTCCAAGGCGCGAGGAGGAGGAGGAGGCCAAGCGCAATGCCGCTGAGGCCAAGCGTCAGCGCGAGGCGGACAAAAAGCTGCTGAAGCGGGAGCGGCAGCGCCTGCGCGCCCTGGTGGATGGCGGCGGTGGCGCTGGGCGGCTGCTTGGGGAAGACGAGACTGAGAAGCTTTGCCAGGGCCTCGACACGGCGGCGCTGGCGGCCCTCTGCGAGGCTGCGAGCGCAAAGGGTCTGTCCTCGGAGCAGCAGCGCGGGGTGCTGGAGGCGCAGTTGGAGGAGATGCGGCGTGGGGAAGCGTCAGCGGCGGAAGAGCGGGAGCGGCAAAAGGAGTTGGCAGCAGCCGCACTCAAGGTGGGAGGTCAAGCACTTGTGAAGCGACCTCGATTATTGCACCTGCTCAAAACCGTAGAGCCCCCGTAGAAGCGCTGGCATTGCGTTGCTTTCTAAAACGCCTGTTGTATTGTTGTGCGCCATGGCTGTTGTTGCCCTTCACTCACTTCAGGACATAGCCAAGCGCGATCACGAGCGGCGCATGGCCAGCATGAGTGAGTGGACAGACGAGGAGCTGCGGCTGCTGGACAAGGCCTGCACCAAGTTCCCCATGGGCACGCCAAGGAGGTGCGGGATTAGGCGAAATCGTAGCGGTGCTGCAAGGGCGCTGCAGGGCACGTTTCACCCTGCGCTGGTGTGGAGCAATAGCGCCAAGGTTTTTTCACCTATGCCTATTGCCCTGCTCCAGGTGGGAGGCTGTTGCGGCGTACGTTCGCACGCGGCCGCTCGATGAGGTGTTGCTGATGGTCAAGGAGCGGCAGGGCGCTGCTTCCAACAGGCTGCGGCAGCAGGAGGACTGGAAGGGCGCCGCCAAGAAGCGCGCGGAGGTCACGTCTGAGGCGGACCTGCGCTGCATGGCCTTCACTGACGTGGAGGTCAGCGTGCTGGCAGAGGGGACTGCGGCGGCCACACAGCAGCAGACGGCCGCCGCCACATCCAGCAGCAGCATCGCAGGGCCCGGCCCTGGCAAGGGTGCTGGCAGCGGCGGCAGTAAGGGGGGCGCGGCCGAAAACGCTGCAGCGGCGGGCACCGGCAATGGCAGCGGCGTCGGCGCCAAGCCCAAGAAGGTGGTTTCTGCCGACTCGGGGGAGTGGAACGAGGCGCAGGAACTGGCGCTTGTGCAGGGGCTGAAGCAGTTTGGAAAAGAGCTGCCGGACAGGTGGGTTTTGAATCTGCGCCAAGGGGTGCTGTGAGCCTGCTGCTCCCTCAAGGCCGTTTGTGACTGCAGGCCCCTCAGTGCTGCGGTGGCCCTCACATGCAGCCCCTTTTGCGGGGTGGCCGCTTACTGAGCAGGGTGACCTGCTTCTCTCCCCCCGTCGCCGCCCACCAGGTGGGAGCGCATCGCGGGCGTGGTGCAGGGCAAGAGCAAGGCGCAGTGCTTCAAGCGGTTCAAGGAGCTGAAGGACGCCTTCAAGGCCAAGAAGACAGAGGCGTGACGCGACTCCACGGGGAGCCCTTGCGACCCCCGCTGCGTGCAACAGTGCGCCGCACCCTAGTGGCAGTCAACGTCAGACTGCTTTGTGCGAGCTTGAAGCGTTACACGCCTCTCAGACACAGGGCCTGTAACACTGTTCGTGATGGCAGTTCACAGGAATAATTCGCAGGGTTTGTAAAGCAGGAGGGGTCACAAATTGATGGGTTGCTGGATGGGGTGACGAATCGCATTTTGAGTCGAGCTGTGCACACTAAGATGGATGGAACCAGCCAGCTGTAGTAAGCCTTTGGCCACGATCGACTGGTGGGGATGTCACCTTGTAGTGACCCATCACTCACCATGACTTTATGCCACAAAAGAGTGAGGGGCCTCTGGCAGCCGCACGGTCAGTGGTTGCTGCAGCACTGGCTTGGAGTGTCCAGCCACCTTGAACTGCCCCAAACCACCTTGGTTTAGGATTATAATAGTTACAAGATCCCGCGGTCGCCCGCTCCTCGAGCCATCCAGGCTCATGGCACTAAGGGTTTAGGGTTTAGGGTTTAGGGTTTGGATTTGAACCCTTGTATGACTGGGCAGCAAGTTATGGCGGCTGCAGACATTCCACCTGGTCCTTAAACG